TATGTTGTTATTTTTCAAGAATTTAGATTTGAATTTACCAAAATTTGACCTAATTGTGAATCGTAAACAATTCACAAAAACACATACACACACGCATACATATATGATTTAGTTTTTGATCAATTTTTAATATTTAATGGATATGAATATTGATATGAATTATACAAACGAATTTGGATTCCATCACTCAAATTTTGATAATTGACATGTCTATATATAGTTTGTTTACAGAATGATCTATCAAAATAACATTTTCTATGAAAATTATTATAATATTAGTACTGTCTATAAAATAATTTCCTATAATTTTTTCAATTAGATTTTATTTTTTTACATGTAAGTTACGTGTAAAAAACTTTTAAAATAGGAAAATAAAAAATTATCATGAAGAATTACTTTATAAGTAGTGTAAATGACAAAAGACAACAAATTTTGACGATTGTTCCTCAATCATTCCCCTTAATTTGATGATTGCCTTGCTAAAAATGGAATCTAGCTTCGTCCTTGTAAGCAACAAAAGAATAACATCGCAACATTTTTCAATACATTGAGAGTACAATACAAAAAATTCTATCTTTGAGAGTACCAAAAAAAAAAACTTAAGTCTTTTCGGGGTGCAATGTAAGATTCCCTCTTGTTGTAGTCTATTTATCATCCTCTTAGACATATTTTTTCACTAGTTATTAACACCTATACATGTTGGGTCTACCTACCTCATTAGTGGATGAAACGCAGTAATGAGATCATTTTATTGGAAGCATATGTACCCTAATTATTAACGCTTAATTTTACCTAGAACCCTCGGTATGTTTGTTTGGGTCGGGTACAACATAGGATAGGATTGAAAAATTAATTTTCATCCAATTTATGATGGAAGTGATAATTGATCAATTATTTAATTATCTACATATTTTATCATGTTTAGTTAAAGTTTTGCATAATGGTGGCCAATGTTCTAATGCTAATATAATGTTCGGACAAATACTACGGTACCAAAATTTTCTTCTTCATACCACATATCGAAAAGTAGAAAAATAATAANTTTAGTTAAAGTTTTGCATAATGGTGGCCAATGTTCTAATGCTAATATAATGTTCGGCCAAATACTACGGTACCAAAATTTTCTTCTTCATACCACATATCAAAAAGTAGAAAAATAAAAAAAAATATAACAAGTTCAGTAAACTCTATCCATAAAGTCGTAAGCCCAAAAAATAAAAATAAAAAAATGAACTGAAAAAGTGAGTATACTCTTAATGTTAGTAAGCTCAACCTAGAAGATAGTATAGATACCAAAAAAATTGATATGTACCATAGTTAAACCCTAATGTTTGGATAAGAGATTAATGGATAGTATTACTAGAAAAGATTAAAAAGAAAAAACCCTAAATCAAATGCATAACTCCCTAGTTTATAGGAAAATTTTTGTTGTTTTGGATATGAATAATGTTATAAATACCAAAACTTTTATCAAACTTGTTTTATTAAGGAAAATTTGAAGGCCGGTCTCCCTATATAGATTTATTTGAAGATAAATCTGTCAGGGAAACTTATTTGATTAAAGACTGTTTTTTGTCAATTTTACAATTTTAACCCNCTCCCTATATAGATTTATTTGAAGATAAATCTGTCAGGGAAACTTATTTGATTAAAGTCAGTTTTTTGTCAATTTTACAATTTTAACCTTTCCTTGTAGGAATGTTATAAACAATATTTATAGACACAATAATCAACTATATATATCCCCTTTATAATCGCCTTCAAATTCGGCTACAATCTTCTAAGCCACAATGTTTCCTTATTCGAAAAACAAGAAATCGGCATTTACGAAAAATCGTTTATATTCAAATTTCAAATCTATTACATTCCATAAAATACAATTTTAGTTTACTATTTTATTTTACATTGGACTCCATCGATAAAATATTAATATTTAAAAAATAGCAATACTAACATACTCAACAAAGACAGTAATATGGTCACTAAAAAAATAGTAACATGCTCACAAAAAAATAATACACATGGTAAAAAAGTAATAACAATTAGAGATTTAATTCTATCAAAGTGGGCATTAACCTTATAACCAAGATTCAAGAGAGCTCATACATTAGTATTAAATTAAAGTGTTATAAATTTCAATTTTGTTGATTTTTTTGTTGTGTAAGATAATCAAGTATTTCTTGGCTGTGTTACTGTGAAAAAAGTTCATGCTACTGTATGTAAACCGAAAAATGGAGTTCAGAATTTCAATGTCTTGATGTTCACGGTTAGTGTTGAGTGTCGTAATTCAACTGTCGATTGTGTGTTACTACTCGTCATTTTGTAAATTTTTAATTTGTAGATCGTATTTTCATTAAAATCATTCGAAAGTTGATGTTACTGTAAAAAAAACTATTGTCTTGTATTTTGTAAAATTAGATGTGTTACTAAGCACAAAGCTTTGATATTACTATGGATATTAAAGTGTATGTTACATAATATAAGTCTCAAGCTTTACAATTGTATGTTAAAATTCACTATAGTAACATTATTGTCAGTATAGTAACACAATTATACTAGTAACATGACCCTAATTATAACTTCAATCATATAATAACATGAATGTTACTCTATATTAACAATCATGTTACTGAACTCTGTTAACATTGTTCAGCCTCTCTATATTATGCATTACTGTTGTTAAAAAAATTTTATAATCTGAATTTGACTTAATAGACCAATAATTTATTCGTACATTAAGTTTCACATATATAACTATCAAAATATATAATTTCTATATAAAACTTTCGTTAATTATTATAATATTTAATAAATGATTTTTATATATAACTCAATCAAGGGTTTCCATATATACATTTATGATTTAACCTGTGTTACTTTCATAACTAGATAAAACTAACACTATTAGAGGTAGTTTTGAAATTTAAAAAATAAGTAGACTTAAGTACCTACATATAAGTTTAAACATGAATTTACTCCCAAATAAGTTTCATTTCAGGACTCAAGTCATTATAAGTCCATGTAGGAGAATTCACCCTCAAATTTCACTTGTTTTTTGGATACCAATACAATTTTGTTGGGCCCCACTGATTGTTAGACCATCTCAAATTCTTATCTTTTTTAAAAAAAGGTACATTTTTTAAAAAAATTTTCTTTAATTTTAGACTCATATTCATACCAAATAAAAGGAAACTTTTTTTTAAACCCAAATCAAGGGAGACCCTTTTTTAAATCAAAATCTTTAATGGTGAGATTACTTTCTCCTTTAAAGATCTAATGATCATATTTTATCTTTTTTAAATTTAAGTCTATCCTCATTTAAATTTGAGTTTCTCTTCTTTTAAAAAAGAATTTGTCCATTAGAGATGTATACCAAATCAAACTTTTTGCCTTTTTTTTTACTCANAATTTCTCTTCTTTTAAAAAAGAGTTTGTCCATTAGAGATGTATACCAAATCAAATTTTTTGCCTTTTTTTTTACTCAAATTTGAGTAAGGATTTAAGTAGGGGGTGTTCACCCTACCCTATAGGTAGGAATTATGGTATTCCATCCTACTACCCAAAACTTTGAGGAAGATTTTTTTCTTGGACTACCATACCAGATCAAGTGTACTATTTCTACCTGAATTTCATCCAAAACAATTGGGGTGGAAGTCGAGTAAACACATATGTTTTAGTTATTAATTTTTGAATTATTTTAACAATTTAGTTAAGTAACATGCACTAATTAATTAACACAATAAACCAATAACACTAAATAAAATACAATAAATTTAATAATACATAAACAATTACAATAAAACACAACAAGAAAATCATAAACATCAATATATCATATTTAAGAAAGCCATAAATATCAATAAAATATTAGAATTTCTAGATTTTTGAATTTTAATTATTAGAAATTAACATATATATATACGGGTACGATATGATAGGAATACAAAAAATTTGTAGCTATTCTGTATTCCTATCCAATTTTTTGTAAAATACCAAAAATTCTTCTGTTGCCCTATTCAACTTTTTTGGATAGCTGATCAATAGAGTCGGGTATGATAAAATAGGGTCAGAATTTACGAATAATCAAAAATTTAAACATCCCTAAATTTAAGTCTCCATTGGAGATGCTCTTATCCCTAGAAACTCACTTATGATATATATATATTTTTTGAACAACCCCCTTATGATCCTTGAATATAATTGTTAGGGAAAGGCTACGGTACCGAAAGAGGTACCGTACTGAAATTTATAATCATTTAAGATTAAGTTACAACATTTTTGAGGTATAAATTATAATCTCTAAAGGTCATGATCGATCATGATAGATTAAAATTGATAACGAAGTTATAATTTTTAAAAGTCAAATTACAACTGTTCAGGGAAAATTTATGATCGATTATGTGTATTTATAATCGATTATGGTCCCCTTGGTCAATTATAAATTTCTCCTAAACAGTTATAATTTTTCTCTTTTAAGATGTAACTTCACCGAAAAAAAAAAAAAGACGATAGGGTACCTAATGCGGTACGATAAACTTTCCCTAATTGTTAATGATTCAACTTTGATCGGAATTCGATAAAATTTAAAATTATATTCAAATCTCCATTTAATGCAAAATCAATTATCCTAATTGGGATGCCGGGGTAACCCACCCGAATACTGTATACAGTATTGGTCTACAACTATTATTTCTCATTTGATAAATACAGTGCTGTATGTATTGGGGGCATCCAGTAATGCAATGGCTTGTCATTTTCTCTCTCCTCATGCCTCCCATGCATGGTCCCTTTGGCTTCATAACCATATATGCCCACATTGTTTAATGTATCCATCCATATGCCTGACACTCCACAACACATACATCATCATAACATTACAGAGGAGAGAGAAAATTGATGCTGAGAGCAGCTGTACTTTTCCTTTTCCCCAGAGAGAGAGAGAGAGAGAGAGAGAGAGAGTTACAGCCAACAGCTACCCATTTTGCCTAAAAAACGTTTATCGCAGTCCGGTGCAATAAAAACAGCCCCTCTGCATCCCATTTATTCTTTGTTCAGCATTTTCACTGTTTTGTCATTTGCATTTTTCTGCTAAATATATTTGCTTTTATATAGATATTTAGGTACTGTATGGATATATGTGTTTTTTATTTTCAGAAAAAGTCCAAAAATCATTACACTAGACAGTCTAGACACCGGCCCTTCAATTGTTTGTCTTTTTTCTGTTTGCTCTCTGTCTCTCTGGGTTGGTTTTCTAACTTCGTTTTCTCCGTGAAATTTCTCTCTCTGCCCTTCACTTTCACTAAAATTCTCGAGATTGGCGTCTAAGATAAAACACCAGGGGTCTATTCAAGCTCCTTCTCAACTGGGTTTTATCTCACAGTTCTCATTTCCTAAAGAGAAAGACACAATCTTGATGAGTGAGAGAGGAGGCTCTCTTGGAGGAGAGAGAGCCTACCTGTACATGCAAGCAAATCACCATTTTCACCGGCTGCATGTGCTGAAACATTTGAACAAAGAGGAGCTCCAAACTCGTATTTAAACTTTCTGGGTGTTTCTGTTCTGGTTTGATTGTTTTCTGTGTTTTTCTTTGTGGTTGAATCTATCTTTGCACAGAGAGTCCAACAGTGCTATCAACAAACAGATGGATTCTAGCAAGTATGTTAGGTATACACCAGAGCAAGTGGAGGCCTTAGAGAGGGTGTATATGGAATGCCCAAAGCCCAGTTCATTGAGAAGGCAACAGCTTATTAGGGAGTGTCCTATTCTCTCAAACATTGAGCCCAAACAGATCAAAGTCTGGTTTCAGAATCGCAGGTATGACTCGCACAACACTCCATGATCACTCTCTCTCTCTCTCTCTCTTGTGTGTGTGTGTGTGTGTCTTTGTGTTTTGTTGGTCGTCTATGTGTGGCTTTGGTAGCCTTATTGCATTTAGAGATTTTGGGCGTGGAGTTTGTTTTTTGGGTTCTTATCAGTACTGGCCTGCTGTTTTCTGGATGATTTTGTATTTTTTTTTTCTTATTCTGGGTTTTGATCAATTTTTCCTCCTTTTAGTTTTGTGAACGACAAAAAAGGTGGCCTGGCTGATTTGTTATTTTTTCTCTTTCACATTTGGATGTACTCTGGGCTAAAAATACTAGAAATGTTGATTTTCGCATAGGTTTTTTTTTTTTTTTTAATTTTTTTTTGCATTTTTCTGTTTTAACCTTTTTTTTTTTTTAATGTTTGGTATTAGACTTGTGTTGAATTGGAATGAGGGTTGAGAAGTGGTTGTGGCTGATTTCTACTTAATTTTGGTCTGATTGTGTGGTCTTCCTCTAATGGTTAATGTGAGTTTTTTAAGTCTGTCTTTATTTAGTTTCATCAACTCTTTTAATGGAAGCTTGGAATCTCTCTATCAAAATCAACTTGCTTTAATGGTGGTCTTGAAGAAGTTGTTCCGTTGTGTCTTGGTTCACATTTATCATGTTTATAGTTTGGTGTTGCTCTAAAATGAGGACAAAAGGCCATGCATGTCTGGATAAGATTCTACCCTTGCTTCTTTCTTACTTCTACTTTGGAATGTTTATGTTTTATGATATGTTCTTTTGCTGCATTCCTTTGTTGTAGTAGGAGATCTGGAATTTTAGGTAAAAATTGGGATTTTTTTTATATCAACAACTTGCACTTTTTCTGATGAATGACAGATGACAGCCAATTTGTTCTCTTTGAATGTGCATTATTATGTTATTCTACTGGTTTCCTCAGTGTTCCATCATTTGGGTTTCTTTTTTCTCTTCCTGAATGTTAAATGCTCTTGTTAAATGGTTTCTATTGGTTTGCTCTTTTATGAATGATAAGGACACATGACCTATTGTCTTTTAATTATCTTAGTTGTGATTCAACAGCTTTGTTTAATTTAATTCATCATGTTTTTGGAGGCTAAGATTTTTTGCTATTTTAATCATCTGGAAAAGATGATGTAGATGTTAAAGTTAAGGTTATCTTTTTAACTTTATTTGTTAAATTTTTTTTATAGAAATCTCTCTTTGGCTCCATACTGTCTTCTTTCTCATCTTTCGTATTTGGCATTGTTTTTGTCAACAGAAAGTCAATCGAAGTGTGATGTATAGCTTAAACAACACAAAATCTATTTGGATATGTCAAATTTGTAGACATATTAATTTCCTTTTAAGTCTATATGGGGTTTCTTTCTGCTATTTAAATGAGTCCATATTGTCTTATGTAGCATTACAAGGTCAGAATGGCATGAAAGTATTATTTCTTACTGATTTTACCAGTGATGTGCCGATTTTCCAAGATGACTTTTGTTCCAAAGCATGAATTTGAGCCTTTAGAACCCAAAGCAAATTAGGACTATCCTTTATGCTTTTTAGCTTTTATATTGAAATGTCTATGGCGTATGCGTTTGAAGTTTGTAAACTAGTCCCTAAAGTTTGGTCGCCTATCTTGTGTAGTGTTTAGGTTAACTCCTCCTGATGACAATATTCCAAATTTTAGATGTTTGAACTTCTGCACTTAGTTAATCCTCTTAGCAATAAAAAGTAGAATTGGCACATGAAAAAAATAGAGAAGAGTTTGTTCTATTAACATTTCACTGCTGTTTTGTCTATAGATGCCGTGAAAAGCAGAGGAAAGAAGCATCTCGGCTCCAGACTGTCAACAGGAAGCTTTCTGCAATGAACAAGCTGTTGATGGAAGAGAATGACCGCCTGCAGAAGCAGGTTTCACACATGGTTTATGAAAACGGATACATGCGCCAGCAATTGGTCACTGTAATATCTCTTTCTTCACCTCTGGCCTTTTTTGTTTAGAAATGTCCCCCTTTTCCTTGAGTGCAGCATGTTGTTTTGTCTGAAATCTGAACATTTAGTATTGACCAAGTGAAATTCACACTAGTCCTTCAGGTTTTGGAGGTTTCCTTATTATTTTTTTCTCCCGCCTTTTGCAAATTTTAAATTGGACAGTTCATGTTCCTAACATCTTTTATGTAATCTGTGAAGCTAGGAACCCAGTATAAGCTTCCTCTGCATTGTATTTCTTGATTTTGCTTCTAACAAATCTCATAATGTCAATTGTAATAGGTATCCACAACGACCACAGACACCAGCTGTGAGTCTGTGGTCATGACTGGTCAGCAACAACAGCAAAACCCAACACCTCAGCATCCGCAAAGGGATGCTAACAACCCAGCTGGGTAATTCATTTTTATTTGTTTAAAATCAAATTTTCACGGAATTTACATTTCCTGTTTGTCTGGTTTCTTGTTTGTTTAATGGCGAAGTAATCTTCTTTGTACTGCAGTCTTCTCGCAATAGCTGAGGAGACCCTGGCAGAGTTCCTTTCCAAGGCTACTGGAACTGCTGTCGACTGGGTCCAGATGATTGGGATGAAGGTCTGGATGACACTTTGAGATTTTCTTATGTAACAAAGTCTTTCTGTGACTTCAATTTTCTTCATGTTAGTTGCATAAATTAAATTTCATTTTGTTTCCTTGTAGCCTGGTCCGGATTCTATTGGTATCGTTGCTGTTTCCCGCAACTGTAGTGGGGTAGCAGCACGAGCCTGCGGTCTTGTGAGCCTAGAGCCCATGAAGGTTATTCTTCTGAACCCCATTTTTGCTTTTCAGTTTCTTGATTTTATTTTAATGTCATGGTTTAACTTTGCAAAAGCGGCATGGTTGCAGATTGCTGAAATCCTTAAAGATCGTCCATCTTGGTTTCGTGACTGCCGTTGCCTTGATGTGTTAAGTGTAATCCCTTCTGGAAATGGAGGGACCATAGAGCTCATATACATGCAGGTTTGTTGAGTTTGTAAACTAAGAGTTGGTCTAGTTTGAGCCATTTCAGTTTTGAGGTTCCTTTTAATCTACCTACTTGGCATACAACTAATATGATTGATTACTATTATTTTTTCCCCTCAGACTTATGCACCAACAACATTGGCACCGGCCCGTGACTTTTGGACACTGAGATATACTACAAGCTTGGAAGATGGCAGTCTTGTGGTAACTCATTAAGCAGGACTCAAAAAATTGTAGTGTTTTTCTTTGCTATATTTCACTTTTAGAAGGAATTCCTTGAATGAATTTTGAACTTGTGCATAAAAATCATTTGCCTTTTTAGTTATATATCTCTAGTTTTTTAATTATTTTGAGTCAATAATAGCATTTTTTTACATTTTGGAAATTAATTCATTTTTGCCTTCAAAAAAAAACAAGTCTGAATTTCTATGAAGAGATTATTTAGCTACACAGACCTCATGCTTATAGTTCTTCCTCAGTTTTGTTAACCTGCCATGAACTGTTATTAACTGGGTTACATGGTAAACATTATTTAGATTTACTTTAGTTTACTAGATGATTCCCTGTGTGTCTATCATGTATTTATAGATAAATGTTTTGGTATGAAATCTGCAGATATGTGAGAGGTCTTTGACTCCTTCTACTGGTGGCCCAACTGGGCCCCCTGTCACATGTTTTGTAAGAGCAGAAATGCTACCAAGTGGTTATCTGATTCGACCTTGTGAGGGTGGTGGCTCTATTATTCACATTGTTGACCACATGGACCTGGATGTAAGTAGCAACTTCAATGTAACCTTTTTTGTTCTAGTATTATCATTTATCCTTTTATCTGAAACCTATGTGTGATATAGGCATGGAGTGTTCCTGAAGTTCTGAGGCCACTGTATGAATCATCCAAAATTCTTGCTCAAAAAATGACTATGGCTGTAAGAATATCTAGATGCCTCCTTTTTTTTGTTCTCTTTAATCTACGATTTTATTTCATGGCCTTTTCGTTTGATCATCATGAATGTTGTATGCAGTCCTTGCGGCTAATACGACAAATTGCACAAGAAGCAAGTGGAGAAATTCAGTATGGTGGAGGCCGCCAACCTGCGGTTTTAAGGGCACTCTCTCAGCGATTATGCAGGTGAGGCATTTTACGATGCATTAGCCATGCATTGTTTTATATGTGATATCAGCTTCCTTCATGTTGAGCATGCCTGGGCTGGCCCATGAGTTAAAGTAATTTAAATCAATCCACCATTGGTTGTCTTTTGAGTGGCAGCAGGGTATTGTCTCGTGTCTTTTTCTTTTTATTGATCTGATCTCTCCTTTGTGTGGTAATTTGGCAACTGTTTCTCAGGGGATTCAACGATGCAATCAATGGATTCGTGGATGATGGTTGGTCGGTTATGGCTAGTGATGGTATGGAGGATGTGACCATTGCCATTAACTCTTCTCCAAGCAAATTTCTTGGTTCGCAATACAACACATTGGCAATGCTCCCAACTTTTGGGGGAGTTCTGTGTGCAAAGGCATCAATGCTTCTCAAGGTACATCTCAAAAGTAAAATTTCATGAGCGAGGTCTATTAAGGATGAAATCTTACCTTCTTGATCATACATATCTTTGGATGCTGTAGATATAGTATCACTTCAAATTCTTCCCTTCCCCTATTGATTTCTTTATATGATGGTTAAGTTCCTCATGGATGTTTTCTTAATTGGTTGATTTGTTGCTAACTGCTTATGTGTATGTAGAATGTCCCCCCTGCTTTGCTAGTTCGTTTCCTGCGAGAGCACCGTTCTGAGTGGGCTGACTATGGAGTTGATGCGTATTCTGCTGCATCTCTTAAAGCTAGTCCTTATGCAGTTCCTTGTGCAAGACCTGGTTGCTTCCCTAGTAGCCAGGTCATTTTGCCTTTAGCCCAAACTGTGGAGCACGAGGAGGTGACAAACTAATCTTCTCTTCAATTCATCAGACTTTTTCTGAATTCAGTGTATAGATAATTTAAGCCAAAATTTTAACTCCCCCCGTCCAAACAAAATTTAGTTGCTGGAGGTGGTTCGGCTAGAGGGTCAAGCATTCTCTGCAGAAGACATAGCTTTGTCACGGGATATGTATTTGCTACAGGTTGGATCACATTTTTTTTTAATGTGAAATAAAAGCATTTGTTGCTCAATTTGTGGTGGGTTACCCTTATTCCTTTTATGTGTATTTGCAAGTATTAATGCTTCTTAAATCTGACTTGGCAGCTATGCAGTGGGGTTGATGAGAATGCTGCAGATGCCTGTGCTCAGCTTGTCTTTGCGCCCATGGATGAATCCTTTCCAGATGATGCTCCTTTGTTGCCATCTGGTTTCCGTGTCATACCATTGGATCCTAAATCAGTTCTGTGACACATATCTTGATTGAAAGTTACTTTGAAACTTATAAAATATTAGCAAAAACATGATACTTGAAAATCTTTAGCTGTTACAGAGAACCTTCCTTTCAGTTAACAGCACTTTGTATTCACTATAAACTCCAGTAAAAGCAATATCTTGTGGGTTTTGTCTCCTTTTGTAACTTCTTTTTCTTCATACTGCAGAATGGGCCTCCCACAACTCGCACATTGGATTTGGCTTCTGCACTTGAAGTGGGAGCGGGTGGAGCACGTCCAACTGGTGAATCTGATATGACCAGTTATAACCGTAGATCGGTTTTAACTATTGCATTCCAGTTCACTTTTGAGAACCATTACCGCGATAATGTAGCTGCTATGGCCCGCCAGTATGTTCGCAGTGTTGTGAGCTCTGTTCAGAGGGTTGCCATGGCTATTGCCCCATCTGGGCTGAGTTCTCAGTTGGGGCCAAAACCAGTGCCTGGTTCTCCCGAGGCCCTCACTTTGGCACGATGGATTTGCAGGAGCTACAGGTATCAATTCGAAAGTCTCATAAACACAGTATGTTGTTTGGTTAATGTTACTGATTTGATGTGAGAAGAGAGAGAAATGGGTTGTTCAATGTTTTGGAAAGTCACCAGAAACGTTTGAACTCAACAATTAAAATGCTGTACTTTATCATGTTCTAGTCATTGTCTGGAACAATAGCAGATGGAGGGGTTACAACTTTGCCATAATGTTCTATACATGTCAATTAGTCTTTGTACTACAAAATGATGTTTGAGGGGTCAATGTAAAATCTTACTTCATGCCAGATTTAGCATTTGATAACTAAAACAGTAGATATTCATCTCCTTTTACAAATTTCCAGGCTGCACACTGGGAGGGAGCTCTTTCAGGCTGAATCACAAGGGGGTGATGCTGTCTTGAAGCAACTTTGGCACCATTCCGATGCAATAATGTGCTGCTCCGTGAGAACAAATGTAACTAAATCATAGCTTGGAGTTTTTGTCCACAATTTTTTGTAATTAAGCTTTTTTCTCTTAGGAAACAGATTTTATAATTCTTCTGCTTGGAGAAAAGAAAAAATCTAATGGTATGAACTTTTAAATGCAGGCATCTGCTGTTTTCACCTTTTCAAACCAGGCAGGCCTTGATATGCTTGAAACGACTCTTTTGGCCCTTCAGGATATAATGCTAGACAAAATTCTGGATGAAGCCGGTCGAAAGGTTCTCCTATTGGAGTTTTCTAAGATTATGCAACAGGTGAGACTACTGACATCCGGTGGTACGGAACTAACTAAATTTGGGACAACCATTAAACTATTGGAGCCCCTAGAGGTTTTACCCCTCCCCCCAACAAAAAAAAAAAAAAATTTGCTTGACAATGCACTTTTGAAACTTATTTTCCAAAAACATGTATTGCTGAAAAACATAACTTGAAATGACGTATATTAAGCTTAAAACTGCCATTGCAAAAAATGTTTTCTGTTGACGTGTACATGTTGAGCACGGGATTGTCTTGTGAGTTAGAAAATGTAACTTAAATGATGTTTTTAAGCTTAAAAAAATTTATTTTCTATGGGTTTGAGAACTAAATTTGAAAGTGCTGTGTCCCAAGAAGTTTTATTTTTAATTGGGAAGGGCGAAAAACCGAGTCGCTCCCCCCTACACTTCCTACACTTCGTTTTAAACATNCCGTGTCCCAAGAAGTTTTATTTTTACTTGGGAAGGGCGAAAAACCGAGTCGCTCCTCCCTACACTTCGTTTTAAACATATTACTGCACATTAAATGAATTCCTTGGAGTATGATCAAAGCTAGTATTTGATATATATATGAACAGAAACCATACGAAACTGAATTCTGGAAAATTCCGAAATTTTTGATTTGTTTGGCATCTGATATTTTTTTGTTTCTCTTTACAGGGTTTTGCTTATCTGCCAGGAGGGATATGTGTATCCAGTATGGGCAGGCCAGTGTCGTATGAACAAGCCGTTGCATGGAAAGTTCTCAACGACGATGATTCCAATCACTNTGTTTCTCTTTACAGGGTTTTGCTTATCTGCCAGGAGGAATATGTGTATCCAGTATGGGCAGGCCAGTGTCGTATGAACAAGCCGTTGCATGGAAAGTTCTCAACGACGATGATTCCAATCACTGCCTTGCTTTCCTGTTCATGAACTGGTCTTTTGTGTAAGAGAAAGCGTAGTATCTTCAGACTTTAGCTGTAACCGTATCCTAAGTTATGTATTTTGTTTTGAGGAAAAAAACTAGTATGCCAAGTGAAGGAGGACATGGCGGGACCTGTTGAACTCTTTTGTCTATTATCTATATGTGCATGCATGGATCGATTATGATGATTAAATGTTTTTCTAATGGTATGATTCTACTATNTTTGTCTATTATCTATATGTGCATGCATGGATCGATTATGATGATTAAATGTTTTTCTAATGGTATGATTCTACTATGTAAGTTATTTTGAATGTCTTTAGGAAGTTGGGTTTGTTGGTTAGATTTGATTACATGGGATTTCCTTATACATGGGAAATTATTTTTGTATGGTCTAGATAAAGATTAGTTACATCATAATGGATCTCTCTTCATTTGAATCTCTCTGGGATAACATCTTGAGATAACGTCAATCTAAAATCAGTTGATCTATCTCTATTCGGATTTTTTGGGATGACAACAAATTTGTTTTTGATCATGTAAAATATTGATATATTAGTAATTTTTTGTCTGAAGTCGTAGAATAATAAAAAAAAATTGTTAATAATAAACATATTTGTATTTACATTCAAAATTTAATTATAAAGATAAAAAAGAAAAAGAATTTAAATATTGGTTGTAGTGGGGGCAAGTGATGATAGTAGTGGTGATGGGATACGGTAATGGTTGTGAAGGGTGACAAAGACAGGTAGTAATGGTAGAAGTCGTGAGTGGTAATAGTGATAGTGATGGTGGGGGCAGTGGTGGTTGTTGTGGAAGAGATGGTGGTGGAGGGGCAATGGTGGTTGTAGTGGTTGGGCGACAGGGAGAGTGGTGGTGATAGTTGGGGGGGGGGGGGAATGGTGGGGG